ACGGGATTAGGTGGGATATGTAATTATGCGCCGATGGTGGATGGGGCTGCGGGCACGCGGCTTGTGTGTGGATTTGTTGAGAAAAATTATGAAAAAAATTTGGATAGTCCAGTATAGAGAAAATGTGGCCGATTTTTTAATAACACTTAAATGAAGAATTTAATTGATGTTATTATTCTTAAGAAGTAGTGCGACAAAAAATTTTGACGTGGGAAGGGAGTTATTAAGAAATATTATTACTCAATATTAGAATTAGTTCGCAGTATATATAATATTTCTCACCGGAGATAATTTTAGATGATGTTTGTTATCTGAAAGGTTATAAATTTAGATAGGTTATTTATATCAAATGGAGAGAACTCTAAGAGTATATATGCGTATATAACAAGTGAATAAATGACCGGTAGCAAAATAACATAAACGACATATGTGAAGATTAAGGTTTTTGAATTAAAATTCTTATTTTAGAATTGTTCTATTTATTTTATTGGCGAGAGGGTTTTATAAAATAACAAAATGCGGTACGGGCGATGGAGGACAAAAGCTTGGGAAGGCATGTGGCCTAAAAAGAGGCAGTAGAGTCCTTTTTTAAAGGAAGTAAAGAACTGCTTGGAGTAGTGTTAGTATAACTTTGAGTATCCATCCGCTCTATGCATTCATGCATTCACGGCTAAATGCTTCTATGCGCTATTAGATTTGATCCTTTTGAATTGCCAGTTATTTGTGCCGTGCACTGGAATGAGATTCGTTATTACTTACAATTAAATTATTGTTCTGATTACTTGTTGCTGTGCTTACTATTTACTGTGGCCTGTTTGTGGGGGAATCTGGGGGATGAAGGTAGGGCCAAACCAGTGCGGTTTGTGAGGGCACGCGTCTCTTATGTAGAATTAGGTCATGCTTCGCTCTCTCTCTTACCTACTGTAATGTATGGATTATGATTATGGATATCGGTGGACCCGTTGGTGCGGTGCTCGTCTGGAAGTCGGCCGGAATCAAGGTCGAAGGATCGGGCTCCCCCCCACCGCCACCTGATGATATGGATATGATATGAACCAAAAACTCGGTGGCTGTTGTTGTGCGCACCAAAATTGTAGCCGCGCTGGAGGTTGGGCCTTCCGGTTGTTGTGTGTCAGCACTTGCATGATTCCTAGGATTGGATTGGAGCACCACCGAGTTGGGCATCCGTGTGCTCTTATTGTTCGCGCTCACTCGCGCACACGCAAAAGAGCGAGGGTAAAATGCCCTTGAAAATAAGATGAGGGTGAGGATAGGCTGTCGTAGGTTCAGTGATAAGACCAGTTGGGGCCGTGCTGAGCGGGGATGCGGCTCACCTGGTGGGATGTATAGGAGGGGCGAGCCTTGTTGAGGAGGCGGGACTGCGCGGTTTGGGGGGGGCGTGGGGTTTCAGGTGGGTGGTTGCCACCTGGGACCTAAATTTCAGCGTGATGTTGATTGATGAAGGTAGGCTTTCCGCTACTTTCCGGTGATCTCGCTTGTTGGCCTGGTATTCCGCCATTTGGGCTGTGACCAAAACATGCGAACTTTATGATCATATAATTAAACGGCGGGGGTAATAGATATAAAAAATATTTAGCCATCTCTGTGTGATCTGATTTGTTGGGGGTGAGAGGGTGTTAGGGTCCTCAGACCTCTCTACGTGATTGCAGTTTGCGCGCTCACCGCCTGCCTTTTAACTATTTTCTCTCTTGTTTTGCCAGGTAATATAAAAGAAAGAAAAGCCTTTGATGGGAGTTGTACCGTCCACTTTTATTGTAGAAGACTGTTAATGATTAGGAAGAATTACGATGTGAACATTAGGTGGGATCAGCGCCATATTGTATTCCAGTTTGTAATTACCCTTAATGAAAGGTCTCATTTTTAAATATTGATTTGCAATGAATATTAATTGAACTATAGTTCATAATAATTTAATTCGGCGATCCATAAATCTCTCCTCGCGTTATAGTCAAATGTCGGAATTGGAATAAGTTTAGGCTGTACTATTCGGGTGTGACGTGTCTCGGGGGGCGCTTGAAGGCCCACCCGCAGGTCCGTAGGTGCCGGTCCGTGGCCCTTCGAAAGTGGCCGGTCGGCGTTACGACATCTGCCTAAGATCAAAAAGAGAATGGACTGATTTCGTAACAGGGAGAGAATGTCGAATTGGAATAAGTTAGGCTTACTACGGGCTTCGGGGGCCTTAAGCCCACCCAGGTCCTAGTGCCGGTCCGGCCCACGAAAATGGGTCGTGACATCTGCTAAGATCAAATATATTTCTAAACAGAATATTTCAATTTTCTATATTTTTATTTTATTCCTATAAAAATATTATTATGATGTATTCACTTATATTCATTGTTAATGAATTATTAAGTTTTCAAAAAATCAACTAGCTGAATCAAACTTAAGAATCCGTTTCAAAAATTATAACATAATATAATAAAATATAATGTATTTTTGAAAAATATAATTTATTAATAATAAAATCAAGTATTATAAATACTCAATTAGATCAGATATAGAATTTACTATCATAATTAATAGAAAAGTTCATTGATCCTTCAACAATAAAAGAAATATCCATACTCTTTTGAATAATAAAACTAAAACTAAAAGAAACAATATTGTATTTTTTAGCTTGAAAGATAACCTTGACTAATATAAATCTTCATAGTAGCAACTGGTTCTTTAATTGATTTGGACGATAAAATAATTTGTCTGAATTTTTTATGCTTGGATTGCTTTTCCAAAAACTTGTTGTGTATGACGTACACGGATGAGTTCAAGTTACTATACATTAATAGCATCAATAGAGGAACATGCCGCACTACCAAGCTCCATTGATCAAGATACACATCAGTAAATTAATATCTAAATTCTCCAGCTAAATAAAACCAAATATCATACTTTTTATGAACAAACCTATATAAAAAAGGAATTAAACCCTCACGAAAGAAAGAACCAAAAAACTCCAAATATGGAGAGAAAGCAATAATAACAAAAAAAAAAAAAAAAAAAAAAAAAAATCGGGGATGGATTAATAAAAAATAGATTATGAGTCTTATTAAATAACGGGGATAAGACGAGAAAGAAGAGGAGAGCCCTTAAATGTGCATTGGAAATATATTGAATTACATTTCGGCAAAGCGATAGAGTTTCAATCTCATTACTTGATCTTAAATGTGCATAAAAAAAAAAAAAAAAAAAAAAAAAAAAAAAATAAATCGATTAATAAAAAATAGATATGAGTTTATTAAAAACGGATAAAAGAGAAAGAGAGAAGCCCTAAATGTGATGAAAATATATTTAATTACATTTCGCAAGCGGATTAGAGTTTCAATCTCATTACTTATCTTAAATGTGATAAAAGAGTTGAGATATTGTACACCAAATGGGAAACAAATAAACAAAAATATATAGTGGGCCTATTTGGTGTTTGGACGTTTTGGGAATGTGTAGGAAAGTGGGCTATAAGGCTGGAAATTGGTCTTTAAAAGTAGGCTTGGGCTTTTGAGCATAGGCAGGAGAAATAGTGGACTTGGGCTCACTCCTGAGCCCAAAAATTTATGAACAACTTGCATTTTGGGAGATTTGTATTTTTAAGCATCGCACTTCACTCTTTATAAGATAGGACAACTTTTTGACCTGACACTTGATACTTTCCCCTAAGAACAAAGAAAATACATATAGTTAATAGTCAAGTATAATTTATCTTAAAGCACAAAATAATCCAAATTTTTTATCTGAATAATTTAAATCTAATATACATTATCTTTCACTGTTTCAAATTCTAATTTCTTGGTAAAAATTTGCAAGACTTCCATATCTCCATACACTTAACCAAGACTTTAAGTTTAGGAGAGAGATTAGGGAAAGCAGTCTATTGGGCGTTTGTAGTCCAACGGTTAGGATAATTGCCTTCCAAGCAATAGACCCGGGTTCGACTCCCGGCAAACGCATGGTTTTTTTCTATTTTCATTCTAAAATTCTTACAGATTAACAAACTTCTCTAGGCCTTGGAGGTCATCGTTGTGATTAAAAAAATCGACAATTTTTTGTAGTCCAACGGTTAAGATAATTGCCTTCTAAGCAATAAACCTATTTTGACACTCGGCAAACGCAGGTCTGGTTTGTTATTTTTCCTTCTAACACTTCAGTAAATTCGATGATTGTGATCGAATAAATTAATAAGAGTTTGTAGTCTAACGGTTGGGATAATTGCCTTTCAAGCAATTGACCCGGTTCAACTTTTTTTGTCATTTTTCCTTCTAAAATAAAATGCTGACAGATTAGTAAACTTTTTTGAGCGAACCATCGAACAATAGAGAAGCATCTAGAAACAGGAAGCTTAAACGTATCCACGGCTGTGATCAAATGCAGCAATATCGCTTTGCGTCTTCCCTCCATTCACAACGACTCTTTTGATCAATTGATTGCAGTGATCAAATCAACGTTAATCAATGGCGGAGCACTTAGCGTCGATATTCGGGACGGAGAAAGACAGGGTAAACTGCCCGTTTTACTTCAAGATTGGAGCTTGCCGGCATGGTGACCGATGCTCTAGACTCCACACCAAGCCAAGCATTAGCCCTACGCTTTTGCTTTCCAATATGTATCAACGGCCTGATATGATCACCCCTGGCGTCGACGCTCAAGGCAACCCCATCGATCCTCGCAAGATTCAAGAGCATTTCGAGGTATACCATTCAAATTTCCTCTTTTTTTCTTTTTTCGAGGTTTATAGAGTTCTTGATTTAATGCTTTTGTGGTTCGATTTATTGAGGCTTTTCGTTATTTTCGAAAATGGTAAAATCGATTATATAGCTGTTCTTGAGATGAGTGTCTTTATGTGCGAAAGAGCTTTTTGTGGCTATATATACACGTTTTGCTTTGTTAATTGTGGTCTGCTTCCTATTATGTTTGATTGGTTGGTTAGTGTGGGTGATTGATTTGTTTTTTTGGTTCAACCTTGAATTTTATCATCCATTTGGATTGCAGGATTTCTATGAGGATTTATTTGAAGAACTAAGCAAATATGGAGAAATTGAGAGTCTGAATGTCTGTGACAACCTTGCTGACCACATGGTAAATTTCCTCAAGTTGAAAGTTGGCTTTCCTTTCGGTTAATTTCCAATTTGTTGTTCTTTGATGGTTAAATTTCATTTTAATGTCTATATACAGGTGGGGAATGTATATGTTCAGTTTAGAGAGGAGGAGCATGCTGCAAATGCCCATCGGAATTTGAGCGGAAGATTTTATGCTGGTTAGCTTTTTTTTCTTTTTATCTTTGAATTTTAGTTACATGTCTTCATCTGGTTTGAATGTCCTGTGTTTGTTGATACATTATGGGCTGTCATATTAATTATTCCAGGTCGTCCGATCATTGTTGATTTCTCCCCAGTGACAGATTTCCGGGAAGCCACCTGCAGGCAATATGAGGAGAATTCATGCAACCGTGGTGGCTATTGCAATTTCATGCATCTAAAAAGGATCAGCAGGTGATGGACTTCCTATTTTATGCTGTCGTGATATTTAATACATTGTATCTGAACTTGTTATATGTATTGTGTTACACTTTTAGGGAGTTGAGGCGACAATTATTTGGGAGGTACCGACGAAGGCGTAGTCACAGCCGCAGTAGAAGCAGAAGTCCTTACAGGCATCGCAGCCATGAAGATTATCACTATGGTGGTCGCAGTTCTGGTAGAGGATATGATGATCGGGAGCGCTATTATGAAAGTAGGAGCAGGCGACACAGGACTAGAAGCCCTGACCGCAGGAGAGGGCGAAGTCGAAGCCCTGTTAGGGAAGGCAGTGAGGAGAGACGTGCTAAAATTGCCCAATGGAATTTGGAAAGAGAACAGCAGCAAGAAAGTGCAAATAAGGTCAATACTGACAATAGCAATGGTGGTGGTTATAATGGCTATATGCAAAATGGTAATCAGGATCATGGACATCGGCAGTCTTCACCACCACAAGGAGTATATTGATATTTGATCGATTTTTGGATATCTGGTTGGTTTGCGTTCTCTCTATTTTGCAATTTTCTTGCTCACGTAGGATTTTCTTTTTTAGGATATGCCACACAGTTGATAAATATAGCTTACAGCCCATTTTCCACTGTGCAGGTATGATGTACAGGTTCACAGTTTAATTCTTCTTTTTCACTAGATGGAATTTCAATGAATTAGATTTATGAGAACCGCTTGTCATATGGAATGTGAAAATGTCTTTTGCATCTCTTACCTGCATTCATAGTGGTTGACTGTGTGATCGAGTGCATAATGACCTCCTTAATGTTGTTGACCAAGGTTTTGTTAATTGGCATCAGTAACCATAGGTCATCCCATGATCATGATTGCATTTTCAAATTTAAATCTTTTCAAATTGATTGTTTCTGTATTAACTACTCTAAGGCTGATAAAACTTTTTGTTATTTTCATTTACAGTTTCAAATTGTTCAGGAAATCAATTAAAACTTTTCTTCTTATGCACCAGTATTTTGTTAGAAGATACCGATTTATCAAAGAATGTAAATGTGGCCACTTTTGATGCTTGTTTTGATTGTATGCATTTGCGAATTTCATTGCATTCTTGACCCTTGCTTTTAATGTGTTTATATGCATTACAGTCGGGGATTCTATATCTACCATCCATCTCACATTCAGGCTAGTGAACAATCAATTGTATGGATTTTGTTCCCACGAACTATCTTTTTTTATGTTATTTTACCAATAATATTTAGGACTTAGTTGAGCTCACATATTTGATTGAGTTTTGCAGGTTCAGGTATCCCTGTTTGTCAAGATCAAGCCTTTATTTTAATACCACCTTACTGTGAAATTTGTGCACAGGTTGTTGGGTATGCTGTTCGAGGACGGAGCTCACAGGATCTCTTGGATTACATTTCAAAAGCGTTGAGGACAGGATTGCTCTCCTACTTTTTAGGATATCTCATTAGTTTTGCCAGTGATTGGTGTTTTTGCAGGTTAGGAGTTGTAGCTATATAGAGTCCATCAGACTAGCCAAACACTCAAGTTTGCTGTGTTGAGTCGTTGTTCTTATATTTTTCTTTAGCAATCTTGTCATTACTTTGAAAACTATTTTCTTCTATATTTCGTTTTATTGCTTTTTAAACCAATAGTTGATATCTTTCAATTTTAGAATAATAAAATTTAAGGATTCCTAATCCTATGATGTTTAGTATTTGTCTTTCAATAATTTCCTTTTCCTTCTATGATTAGAATTTCTATGGTGTCGATATAAGAAAAGATCAGAATTTATATGGAATCGGTATAAAAGCAGCAGCGGTGAAGAAGAAGTTTTGTTCTCCTTCAATATCTGTACATTGAAACTTCAATCATGGAGATGATATTGCATAGTGTCCCGACTGAAAGATACAGAATCAGATCTCCTTTCGATTTCTGATTCTCTTCTAACTTTTCTGGAAAATTCTCCTTCAAATCTTACGGGAAACTCTATCCTTGTACTAGATGCCCTGCATTGTCTCACTTGCTCCTGTGTCCATGGCTATCCATCTCAAGAACCAAGCAAAAAAGAAAGTGAAGATTTTCTTATGCTTCTTGAACACTGCCCCTGTTTTTGTGCTCACATAGAATTGCCAAAGGATTGGATAGACTATAATGGTTTCTTGAATTCATATTTTAGTAGACTTGATAGAAAGTTTGATTCTTTAGAGTCTTAATGGTAAAGAATCGAAATCTAGAAGACAAGGCATTGAAATTAGTAAGAGAAAAGGAGACTATCAAAAAAAAAAAAAAATTCTGTTGGTATAGTTTTGGAAAAGTTAAGGGAATTACCGGAAGGAATTCTTGATGACTGCAAAATTTGGTTTCTTCGAATTTGAAATTTGTTTTCTTGAAATTTTGAATTTTCTTTATGTGAACACGGTAGGTTTTGCAAATATTTAGTCATATCTATAGAGCTTTTGTTGCGCGTTTGTAAAAGAGATATTTGTCTTTTTTTGAAATATCTTTCTGAGGCATATTCTTTAGTTCAATCTAAATATTACTCTATTATAAGAATGGCAATTGAAGGAGGTTTTTGGCGACTTCGCCCTGAATTTGGAGGATTTTTCTGGAAAATATAGATTTTAGTTAAGAATTTTTCACTTTCAATGGGTCCTTATTATTTAATCGGATGTGGGTATTTTTCTTATAAATACAACAATTTAGTGCTATGGAATATTCCTAATTTCTGGGAACAACATAACTTTGGATATAGTTTCCAAGACAGAATAATTTATTACAATTTTAAGCATTTTTGGTATGGCATTTAGAAATCTAAATTCGATTTTTTAATTCACTTCAAATTTAGCCAAAAAAATTTGAGGGATTCAAATTCGGGTGCTGTTACAATGGGATGACAAAAGAAATTTGCGACTCTAATATGCTACAATTTCTCGAAGACGGTGATAGCTACAATGGGATTACAAAGGAACTGTGACTATAACATGCTACAATTTCTGAAGATCAATGCTTGAGGATGCGTTTTACAGGATCTCTCAGATTACAATTCAAAAGCGTTGAGGACTGGTTTGCTCTTCTACTTCCAAGTGTACTTCATGTAGTTTTGCTAGTGATTGGTATTGTTACAGGTTAGGAGTTGTAGCTATATAGAGTCGAGTCTGCTGTGTTGCAGGTTAGGATATTTCACTTCTGGGATTATTGTTGGTAAAATTTGGATTTTGGACATTTCTGTCGAGGAGCTTTTCTTTTCTTAGATTCTGCTTTCAGATGTAATGAAAGACCAAAGAAAGAGCCTGTTCAGCAAATAAACATTTGATATAAAAATTTTTAAAATTTATTTCAATTGGCATTTTCCTATTTGATATAAATAAATATTCATTTGGAAATTTATACTTTCCATTTATTAGATCTGGTTATGTTTGAATCAATTAATAGAATTTTCAAACGAGTACAAGCTATTCAGTTATAATAATCCTAGAAAATTATGAATTTTATAGTTAGTGAACCCACATTTTTCATGGGATTCATAAATATGAAATCTAGTTATAAAATAAATTTATACCAAAAATGATGTCAATATGATGTTTTTTGGAACCAAATGCACTAGGATGTAACTGCTGACAATTTTATCATCATTAAGAGTACAAATGATTAATTACAAATTTCTTTTTACAGCGGAAATAAAAGTTACTACAAGTATCATGAGATGTTTAAGTATTCTTAAACAATATTTAGGTGTTTAAGTATTAATTCTTTCGTCTTTTACCCTTAAAATGGAGACTTAGCTATTTATTAAACTTTTATTTACTGACTACAGGTATTTCCAGTCAGTTGAAACTGAAAATGAATCGAGCAGAGCTAAGCTCTTGTGAGCTCGAACTTAGCTTAATAAAAATATGCTTGAATTCGTTTTGATTTCTCAGAAATTAAAATTCAAGTTCAGCTTACTTAAAAATAGTCAAGTTCAAGCTTAACTTGATAACTACAAACGAGTCAAGTTTGAGCTAAGCCTGAAATATATCAAACCAAAAGGATGTAGTTTTAATCTAAGTTTAATTAATTAAATAGCATAAAGGCAACAATTTTCTTCTATTCAATATTTGAAAATTAAATATGCATTTTTTGAAATGGTTTGAAAAGAATGTACAAGGACCAAAATATCATCATAAAATCAATGTGATTATAAAATTGTAAGTGATTATAATACTACAATATTTTTTTTTTATTATAATTATGATAATTCTTATGTGTTGGCATATATATTCACATGGTACAATTATTGAAATATGGCAAATTTCTTTGATAATTAAATTGTTATCGTTGTGTTTGTAGTCTACATTAGCTCTTGATCTTAAAAATTTTCAATGATATTTATACTTTGAATATGCTCTTAAAGAAGCAATATCGAAAGAGAAGATTTTAAAATATATATTGAATTTATTTCATATCTTTTTATCATTAATTGAGCAAAGTATTAAATTTTTAATTAATTTTATGAAATTTGCGCAAATAAATCACTAGGTAGAAAAGGCAGAGAGGTCGCTCCTCTAGCAAGGAGTTACTTGACTTCTCCTATTGAGAAAATGGAGGAAGGAAGGAACTAGCAAGTGTTTACTTTACGGTTAGGCTCGAGCGTAGGAAAGGATTATTCTATCAAAACCAAGCTATCACCCTATTCTCTTTATTTTTCACAACATAAATTAGAGATTTTCAAATTTGATGATTAAATAAAAATATTAAATGACTTATATATCTAAGTACTTAGTATGTGCTTTTATAATATGGAAATTCATAGAAAATAATAGTGCTTCTACTGGTAAAAGTATTAAAAATTAAAATTTTTATAAAATTCAATTCACCATCAAGAGTTGTGTATGGAGACCTACAAAGTATATGATTAGTTAGAGAAACAAAGGGAGTATAACAGAATAGATAAAAAAAATCACACGGTTGTTTACTTGTATTTTTGTTTTTTGTTTCTTTCACTTTTTCCCTCTTGGTTCTCTATATCAAATCTGATAGAATAACCCTATTTAATTTATACACAAAATGCAAGGTGCTTTTTACTAACTCTTCATCTAACCCATGGCCCGATGTGTGAGGGGGAGATTGTTGGGTTATCCCACATTGATTGTGGAAGGAGCTTATCAAGATCACCATTTCAAAATCTTTTGACATTGGTAATGAAGTTGTATTTTCATCTTTGTCTCTTCTTTTGGCCTAAACCATTTCAAATATCCCAAATTTTAGAGATTTTAACAATTGCACTCTAAAATGAACTTAATCCTCCTGGCACTCCAATTTCAAACTTATGTTATAATTGCACTTAGGATTGCCCTGTCCATTAAACTGCCAGTTTCAGTTCACGGAACCGGCTGTTCAAAATTTTTAAAATGTTGAGCCTGAATCGACCGTTGAACTGCTAGTTCCGGTGCGATTCTGATTCCGCCTGGTTCCAATGCAATTTCGATGAACCGATGATTTTGATCACGGTTTCCAATGATATATGTTTTTTTTTCAAAAAAAAAAAATTCGATTACAATGTTACATCTTTTTTTCGAAAATATTAATATGAGTTCAAAACATATTTGTAAATGATATTTTAAATAAATTTTAAAATGTTCATACTCATATAAGAATAAAATCAATTTATTTTACAAAAAAATTAAATAAATTATCTCTTTGTTTTGTCTAAATATTATTAATTAAATAAATTATTAGAAAATTTTTGAAAAATGCTTCAAAGAATATAATTTTGAACTTAATAAACAATTTAAAAGGAAAAAAAAGTTAAAAATAGTATAATTTTAGACTAAATATTTCTCTTTTTGCACCATTTTACTTTTTTAGATTTTTAACTTTTAAAATAAAGTGTATTTTCAAACAAAAAATTTTAAGTAAAATATTATTGAGACTTTTAGAAGAGTTTAAAATAGGCCAAATGATTGTCATTTTGAAATAAAAATAGAAAATTTTTGGTTCGAACCGGATCGAAACTGCTGGTTCAGGTTCAGGTTCAAATTTTAACATTCACATGAACCTTAACCGGCCTTTGAACCGATGGTTCCGGTTCAAAACTTTAAACCGACGGTTCCGGTCCAGCTTCTGTTAATCTGCAATACGGGTCGATTCCAGTCAAAATGAATCGGTGGCAATACCTAATTGCACTCAAAATGCAAAATTGATCAAAATTGAGATTAAAAAAATAATAAATGTGGGACCACACTAGTTAGTTAACTCAACATGAGTTAACATACCAAACACACCGTTTTAGCTTGCAAAATAAAGTATACAGCCTCCTCTTTCTTCTTCAACCAACTCATTTTGCAATTATCTCTCCCGCTCTCTCTTCTATGGCTCTATCATCCACTTTCTTTGATTTGGTAATTACATGCTAATTAGTTTTGTTTTTAGTTGCAGGGAAACAAAGAATAATATATAAAAAAAAAAGGTAATTTCCTTGTCTAGTTTCCTTATTGAACACATTTTTCTTCTTTTTCTTCTTCTTCTTCTCCTCCATGTCCAACCCGTTGCATGTTAGAATATTTTCTTCAAACACCCAATTAAGGAGCCAATAATACTAGACCCTAAGCCTATGTTTGGTCGGATGTAATGCAATGTAATCTAATAAAAAATGTAATGCAATAAAAAATGTAATGGAATGGAACGTAATTAAGATTCCATTACTATGTTTGATAATATAATTGATAAAAATTATAGAATGTAATCATCACTCTATTTTTATGTTTGTTTGTAAATATGTAATGTAATATAATTAAAATACTACCACCACCACCGATCACACCACCATTACTACCAATTATACCACCACCACTTCTTCACCACTACCGCCACCTCCACCACCATCATATCATTATTAATACAAAATAAATATCTAAACTGAAAACTATTCATTGTATTAAGCTATTAAAGATCATTTAGATTTATAAATTTATTTGAACTTAAAAATTAAAGAAGGTAAGCTAAAAAGAAATGTAATTTAGGGATAATCATTCAGTCAATTTGAGTAAAATTTTTAACCAAAATAAATTAATCAATTTTTTTTTACTTAACTGAATTAATTTTTTAATCGAACTATTTTGACCGAATTAATTTTGATTCATAACCGAACCGAAGTTAAAGAAAATAAAAGTTAATTAACCAACTGAATTTAACTAAAATACAACATATTGCCGCACCTATTTAAGTGGTTTGGCCTTTCGTTCGCAGCTTGAAAATCCACATATAGGCAGCGACTGATGATTGGATGTATTTCTGTTATAGCCATGAAAGCGAGATAGAAAGTGAGAGGAAGAGAATATCGAAATGGGCTCACTGGAGAAGAAAGTGTGTACTTTAATTTGCAAGATGAAAATCGGTGTGTTTGATGTGTTAATTCATATCCAGTTAGATAATTGGCATGGATCCCACATTAATTATTTTTTAATTTCTATTTTGACCAAGTTTACATTTAGGATGTATTTATAATATAAGTTTGAAATTGAAGTGTCTGAGGAATTAAATTCATTTTAGGATGTAATTATTATAACTCATAAAGTTTGAGATATCTAGATTGGTGTAGCCCATCTTTTATTATAAATTTAAGACAGAGCTTTTGTTATATTCCTTTTAAGAAATTTTGCAAAGTAAAGTACAAAAAATCAACATTATGTATAAGCATTTCTCATCGCAGGTAACAAGAAGATAGAGAAGGCATATGATCCAGGAAGCAACAAAAGTTACTAATTTGTTAAACGAAGGGTGAAAATTAATTTCCTTTTCCTTTCCTCGACTCAACAAAGACTCTGTCAATAAATATTGTCAGTCCATTGAATCCCGTGTTAGTTTACGGAATAGACGTTTTAAACGCCTTGAAGATAACTTTAAACGAAAACGTTATTAATCTTACATTTGCATCGAACAATATAATTTTATTTTTTTTTCTCCTTATATAGTGAAAAATAAATCAGACTACACTGATTGACTATTATATTAATTATATTCTTCACTATGACTAAAATAAAGTATTAATTATCTACAGTTATGACTCACTTAACAACGCAGACTTAATATGTAGGAAAAGCTCTTCCCAACTAGCCTTAATCATGATTAAGCCTCCACTGGATTAGATGGTCTCTAGTAATGGAATCCGTAAACCGGTGATTTACACATAAAAATAAAATATTTACTTTTTATTTATTTTTTTCAAAAAATAAAATCTCATTTGAATAGGATAAATATGTTTTGATGATATTCAAATATGTGTACACTTTAAATATTTAAAAATATTTAATTAAATTAATTAACCAAGAATTATAATAAAGACTTCCATGCGAAGCAAATGACTACCGTATGAACCGAAGGAAAGCAAAAAAACAGAAATAAAAAATTTGAAAAGTTCCCTCCAAATTGGACACGTACCCTCATTCCAAACAAAAGCAGAAAATATTAAAGCCATTAGCTACCCACTAACTGAAATAAACAAAGAGGTGGAAAATGGACTAATGCCTCTCTTTAAGTTCCCTTTCCAGTTTCCTTCCATTTCCAACCTCCCTATACGCAACGCTTGATAACTAACCGTCTTTGCATCTATGGCTTCCGAAACCTCCTCTTCTATGTTCAGCCGTCCATGGAATAACGATGTCTTCTTGAGTTTCAGAGGTGAAGACACTCGCAAGAGCTTCACCGATCATGTCTACACTGCTCTAGTCCGATCAGGAATCCGTACATTTAGAGACGACGATGAGCTTCGTAGAGGAGAAGATATCTCTTCAGCACTTATCAAAGCAATCCAACAATCAAGAATTTCTCTAATCGTCTTCTCTAAACGCTACGCTTCCTCTCGATGGTGTCTCGATGAGGTTACAGAGATCATTAATTGCAAAAATACCATCGGCCAGATCGTAATTCCCATATTCTATGACGTTGACCCTTCCGATGTTCGAAGACAGACGGGTCCTTTTCAGCAAGCTTTTGATAGACATGAAAAACGGTTTAGGGAAGAAATGGAGAAAGTGAAGAAGTGGAGAGTAGCTCTTGAAGATGCTGGAAAGCTATCTGGATTTGCTCTCCAGAATATGGAAAATGGGTAATTTTTTTTTTTTTAATCAGTAGATTTGTTTAGTTGATATACATTTAGTGTGTGTATATATGTACATGGAACTTAAAATAAAAATTCTTGCATTTGATCTTTTAGATCTGATGTAACTAACAAGTAATTTGATTCAGTTGCTGCTATAATCATTCTTTTATGTTAATTCTCATGATTTTGAAATGTAGAATTTGTTTTACAAATGATAAATTACCTTCCGTTGTATTGAGTTCCATAAAATTGAACCTATATAGGAGTTCGTCCATACCAAACATAAACAGTATGAAATTTTAAATGAATTCCACAAATTAGTTTAGTATTGACTTGTAACAAATGGGGTGTTGATTTTAAGAATTGTAAAAATTGTCTTCTTTTAAAGAGTAATTAGTACATTTTTGTGTTGTTGTTGACCATTTTTAGTCTGTTTGAACAGGCATGAATCCAAATTTATTGAAAAGATTGTAGAAGATGTTTTAAGTAAATTGAATTACAATTACTTTGATGTTGCCAAACATCCGGTGGGCATCGATTCCAGGGTGACAGATGTGATTTCCTTGCTAAGTCTAGACATAAATGATGTTAGCATTGTGGGAATCCATGGGATGGGGGGAATTGGAAAAACGACCATAGCAAAAGCTGTATTCAATCATCTTTGTCATGGATTTGAAGGAAGCAGTTTTCTTTTGAATGTTAGGGAAGTTTCGGAACAAACCAATGGTCTGGTTAAATTACAAAAACAACTTCTTTCTGATACCTTGAAGTCAAACAAGTTCAAAATCTATAATATTGATAGTGGCATCAGCTTGATCAAACAAAGACTTTGTGCTGAAAGAGTTCTTGTTGTTCTTGATGATTTGGATCAATTGGAACAACTAGATGCATTGGTAGGAGAGGGAAATTGGTTTGGCCTAGGAAGTAGAATAATCATTACAACTAGAGATGAACATTTGCTAGCTCAACTTGAATTGGTTGAAAAATATAAGGTTAATATATTGAATCGTGATGAATCCCTTCAACTTTTCAGCAAGCATGCCTTCAAGAAAACCCATCCATTAGAAGAATATGTGGATCTTTCAAATTCTGTGGTGGATTATGTTGGAGGACTTCCATTAGGTCTTGAAGTTTTAGGTTCTTATTTGTGTAACAGAACCATACCTGAATGGGAAAGTGCTGTGCAGAAATTAAGAAAAATCCCTCACTGGCAAATCCAGAAAAAGCTTAGAATAAGTTTTGATACATTAGATGATGATAAAGTAAAGGATATATTCCTTGATATTGCATGCTTCTTCACTTGCAAGGATAAAGATAGTGTACTAAAAATACTAGAAGATTGTGGTTTCTTCCCAGAAATAGGTATTAGCGTTCTCATCCAGAGGTCTCTTTTAACAATTGATTATGAGAATAGGTTAATAATGCATGATCTACTACGAGATATGGGAAGGGAGATTATCCGAGAAATGTCACCTAACCATCCTGGAAAGCGTAGCAGACTTTGGTTTCATGAGGACGTTCTGAAAGTACTCAAACGGCAGGAGGTAACAATTAAATGTGTTGATACATCCATGGTTAAACCATTCATATAATGCATATGTATATCCTTTGTTCTTTTCTTGGATGATTTTCCATTTGCACTTAAGAAGAAATAACTTTTGATCATGTCAAAACTGATTAATGTTTAGTATCAGTAAAGTAGATTTTCAAAATGTTCAAATAAAAGATTGTCCTGGAAAACTTCTGTATTATTTTTGTAAAACATAACCGTGTTTTAAGGTTCTAGAAGCTGCAATGCACATTACAAAATGGGTAGTAAAATTTTAGTAAAACCACTTGATCATGTATGCTACTGTCTGCTTAAAATCAATTTTGTCATTTTCAGGGAACAGATGTGATTGAGGGTATCGCACTTGATACACGAGCAACAAAAGAAGTTACTCTGAGCATAGAATCTTTTGCAGAGACGAGAAATTTGAGATTGCTCCAAATCAATGCAGTAAATCTTACTGGAGAACAAGAACATCGTTTTGAAGACTTAAGATGGCTTTGCTGGCATGAATGCCCTTTTGAATCACTACCACCAAATTTGCAACTAGACAACCTAGTTGTTCTTGAAATGCAATGCAGCAACATCACAGAAATCTGGAAGGATGTCAAAGTATGCAAATATACAATTAGCCGTTGCTATATTGAAATTGTGCAACGCATTTTTTTTCATGCTTATTTACCAGCTTCTTTTTCTGTCTCTGCTTAAATAGGTTCTGAAGAAGCTGAAGATACTTGATCTCTCTCATTCTCGACACCTTGCTAAAACACCAAATTTCTCTGGACTCATTAGTTTGGAGAAACTAATACTTCAAGGTTGCACAAGTTTAGGTGAGGTCCACTTATCTATTGGACAACTAGAGAAACTTGTTTTCCTGAATTTAAAGGGCTGCAAGAGCCTAAAGGACCTTCCTGAAAGTATCTGTAACTTGAAATCTCTTGAAATTCTAAATATTGCCTTATGCACTAAACTTGCTAGATTGCCAGAGCACTTGGGTAACATGGAATCCTTAACTGAGCTTGAAGCAGATAAAACTGATATTAAACAGCTGCCCTCTTCCATTAGGTATTTGAAGAACCTTAGAAATTTATTTTGGAGTGTAATGGAAGATGGTGTGGAACCATCCATTCGTTCTCCAAAAGATTCAACATGGCTTTTGTCAACAAGTTTAAACTCCAAAGCTCTGCAGCCTACCTCCTTTCTCAGCTCAAGCTCACTGACAACACTTGATCTTTTTGGCTGTGGTTTATCTGATGATGCAATTTCTATTGATTTTGGGAGTTTGTCATCACTTTCAAAGTTGTCACTGGGAAAAATTGACTTTTGTCATATGCCTAGTGGCATTAGCCGCCTTACCAAGCTTCGGTTCTTGGGCCTGACTTCCTGCAGAAATATTAAATCAACTGGAAAGTTGCCATCTAGTTTAGTGTTCTTGTTTATAGCAGATTGTGAATCCTTGGAGAGAATATCACTTTCATTAGAAAAACTATGGGGAATGCATCTGTTTGGTTGCCACAAACTAGTTGAAATTCAGGGATTGAAGAGTGCCCGAAAGGTAGCAAAATTTATATTCAAAGGGTCCAATTGGACAGATAATTTTAAGAAGTCTTTGGCAGGTTCTAATTCTGTCTCCCTCTCTCTCTCTCTGATAGAAATATACAACATTTTAGTCATAATATAAAAGAATTCTCTTTTACACAAAATTGCATATTCTTCTTTCAGATAATTTGTTAGATATTTTCTCATCATTTATCTGCTTAATTTAAGCCTTCAATTTTGATTTCAGATGCAGGTCTATGTCAAATAGCTAATGGTTTTTTCGTGGATTTGTATAGGGCGATTAAGCGTAAGATTTTTCTTTTTGTAATTCTGATTTTCTTTCTGCAATTGCTTGTTTTATATATTTATTTATTTGTGGGATTTGTTTCTCTTGTTTTAATGGATGAAGATTTGAAAAAGAGGTTGATGTAAATGAAGACTGGAAGGTCAGAGGGAAGTAAAGATAAAGTTGAGCCAAGCAATGCCGAACAGCTATTTAAATTGTAATGGTTGACAGCCACAAAATAGAACCCCTAAATTTAAATAGCAGAGCTCCACAAACAAGAAGTGAAGAGGGTTACAAGATTTGAAGAACCAAAACCGAGTTGATTTGCAGAGAGAGAGAGCTCAAGTTGTAGATTTGACAGAACTAGAGTTGCAGGCTATAGAGTCACATTAGAGTTATATATATAGAATAATATTAGAGTCACATTTAAATATTATCTCTAGATTAAAGTTTTCGTTTAAAATTATTTTACTATTTTTTTATTTTATTTAATTTATACATTGATATTATTTTCTAAAGTAAAATACTTTTATTAGAGTTATTAGGCATTAATAAATTCCTTTATGCTACAATTTTCCCGATAAGTACAAATATTTTCAATTGATTTATTATAACCAATTGTAACACGATGAAAAAAATTTAAGTTTCTGAGAACAAAGCAATGAAAAATTGAAAAAGCATTTCAACAAACACCAACAGAATTACACAGCATTACAATAAATACGCCCAAAAAAGCAATTCATGGAACAAGGGAGAATGCTAATCTGACGAGTAAACCGCTAATTAACATCACATCATATAACGATCTCACCAAAGCATAAATGAAACAGCTTTCAAAATGTGATATATCCACCCAGTTTATAACGTTAACAGAAAATACAAATCATCGAATCCAGTCACCGCTATCATAAATCTCTCATTTCCTATGGCATGCCTAACAAAATCTTCTAACTTCGATCCTCCCGATATCTCTCAACAAAAATTTAATTCCATTTACTTCCCACCATGTTTGGCCTTAGAGTGAGACTGCAGAGCACCATCCGAGCCAAATGACCTGTAAAATTAATCAAGATTCCCAGTAAGCTTGCATTGATCTCATTATGGGATTCGCAAAACTTTCAGTATCTGACTAAACATACCTGTCGCAAGATTTGCAAGAAAATTGACCTCCAGATTTCGGTGACTTCGCATTGCTGCCGACTGCAGCAGTTTTTGCAGCACCCTTAGCTGGATGGGGAGTTGCAGTATGGCCGCCCTTCTTACCGTCTGATCCACAGAAAGAAATACAGTTAATATTCAAGAGGATATAAAAATAAAAAATAAAAAAAAACTTTTGGCTCCATTGAAATATATATATTGTCATTCGTTTGGTTGCCACAACTAAGGTTGAGAAGAGATTGCATCGGGAATTGAAGAGTTGCGAAAGGTACGAAAACTTTATCATGCTATTCAAAGGTCTCAATTAATTGGACAGATAATTTTAAGAAGTATTTGCAGGTTCTTAATTCTGTATCCTCTCTCTTCTCATCTGATCAGAGAAATAATACCACATTGTGAGTCATGTCATAAAAGACAATTCTCATTTAACGACATCAAATATTGACATAGTCTTCTTTCGAATGATTATGGGTTAGAAATATTTGTTTTCTCATACATTTATCTGCGCTTTTAAGTTTAAGCCTTCTCCATTTTGTATTGGCAAAGGAGCAGGTCTAACGTGTGCTTACAAATAGCTAATGGTTTTTTTCGTGTTTGGTATAGGGCTCGATTAAGCGTAAAGAACTTTTTACTTTTTGGGTAATTCCTGAATATATCTTTTCGTGCCAATTGCTTGTTTTTAGAGAGTATATTGTTTTTTTATTTTGAGAATTTTGTTTCTTGCTAATGTTTAATGGAATTGAAGCACTTGACAAAAGTAAGGTTAGATGTACTGAGAGCTGGAGTAGGTCAGAGGGGGAAGACTATAAAGATAAAAGTGAGGCCAAGAACTGTAGCGCACCGATCAGCTAATATTAAATTGTGAATGGTTGAAAGCCACTATATAAAAATTTGAAAAATTAAAAATCGAAAAAAAAGAAAACTCCCCTAAATTTAATATAGCGATAGAGATCACATAAACAGAGGTTGAAGAGGTTACGAGATTTGAAGACCAAATCCGAGTTGAGATTTGCTCAGTAGAGAGAGTAGACTCACAGATTGTAAGTATTTGACAGAACTAGAGTTGGCAGGCTATAAGAGTCACATTAGGAGTTATATATAGTGCTTGAATCATGATTATATAGAGTCCACATTTTAAAATATTATCTCTAGATTACAAGTTTTCGTTTAAAATTAAATGTTTACTATTTTTTTTATTTTTTATTTTATTTAGTACATTGAGTTATTAATTTTCCATGGTAAAAATACTTTTAATTAGAGTTGATTAGGGAGCGCATTAATAAATTCTTTATGCTAACAATTTTCTCCGATATAGTAGCCAAAATCATTGTTCAATTGATTTAATTACTATGCCATTGAATAGACGAATTACGGATGAAGAAAAATTAAGTTTCTGAGACAAAGCAATGAAAATTGAAAAAAGGCATTGTCAACAAACACCAAAACATGAATTAACACTAGACTATTACAATAAAAATAGACCTGGTCGAGCTTTACTCTCCTCAAAATAAAGGCAATTCATTTTAGAGAATCAAAGGGAGAAATGACTAATCTAGGAGACGAGCGATAAATCCTGCTAATTAACATCAATCGATTAACGATCTCACCAAAAGCATAAATGGAAACTAGAGCTTCAAAAAGCTGTGGATTTATAATTGCATGTTTCTTAAAATCACTAGTTTTAGTACAACAGTTAACGGAGAAAAATAGCTACAATACATCGAGATACCACACCGCTAATCATACAATGCTCGCACATCTTTCCTATGGCATGCCCCTAACAAAATCGGTTCTAACTTCGATCCATCCGATAACTCTCATGCAACAAATAAGATTATAATTCCAATCTTAACTCTTCGCACATGGCTTTGGCCTTATTGAGATGTAGATTGGGCAGACACCAATCGAGCTAATGACCTGTAAATTAATTAATTCAAGAATGTACCCCGCAGTAAAGAAGACAATGTCATTGAGATCATCAATTCTGGGATTACGGCAGACGAACTTTCAGTATCTAGACTAAAACAACTGTCGAAAGATTTGGCAAGAAATAATTGGACACTCAGATATAGGGTGAGTATCGAACATATGAGGACTTGCTATCGAGATAGAGACGTTGCAGCAAGTTATAATGTGCAGCACCCTTAGCTGGATGGGAGAGTTGCAAGTGTATGGCCGTCCTTCTTAACCATGCTGTCTGTAATCACAGAGAAGAATATAGACAAGTTTATTAACTATAGAGGATATAACAAATATACAAAAGCATAATATAGACTCTCTTGTGTTGAGTCGCATTGATAATAAATATATTAAATGTATAGTGTATTAATATATATTAAAAATATTATATATATAGATTATTCAGAGCGAGAGAGAAAAGTGAGAGAGATAGACGAGAAGGAGGAAGAACAGTGAGACTTCGAGTAGAGTATCTATGTTTTAGGTGGATATATGCGCAATATATTTCATTGATTTTAAAGAACTATTTTTTAGGCTCATGTGGGATCAGGCATTACATTAAACTAATATTCATTTGGGAAGTTAACAAGATATCCCAAACATCAATATCATATCTCAGTATCAAGAAATATACGTATCTAAAAAGAGGACGAGTGACCAGGAACAAGAAAGGATTAGGGAACAAAAGGATGAATAAAGCGGCTATGCCAAACAATAATGAGGGAGGTGTAGCATCAATTGATGCATACTCTGTGTCTTCGATAAGGTAATCTGAATTTTATCATTAGTTTCGAGGGGATACAGGTTGTCCTTTTGGTTGCAGAGTCATTTTTGGATGATTCGCTTGCGCTGATTTGCATTCATTCTGTACATATAGTCATACAGCGCTAGTCTCATTGTAATGACAGCAAAAGGAACTCAGAATCAGCGGCTCTCTATAAATGCCAAGTCTTCGAATTTTAGGTACTAACTTATCATAATCACTAGCACATTAAAAGATCGTATAATTAAACGTACCCTTCTTTGGTGTCCTCCCTCAATCTTTCATACGTCCAGAAGCTTACATGCCTCATCCTATATGGTCCATCTGAATCAGAAATATACTCACAGACATTTCTGTGCAACAAAGACGATGTTACTAGCCTTCCATTTACTTCGGCCCAGAGGGTATACAATAAGTGCCCACAATTTGTCTCTTTATCCAGTGATTGGAGCGAAGATTCGACAACTAAACAAGGAAATTGAGACCACAATGCTAGTTTTCAGAGTGACCACTCCAATGGAAACATTAATCCTCCCCGATAATCAAGCAAAAAACACACTACATATATACTATCAATTAAGTAACACTGATTCCAGACAAAGCATATACATCAACCACCAGGATGTTCACAGTGCGCAATGACAACGCAGTCTGGAAACTGTTTTATGTAATTTAAGTTCATTACAAGAAACTCATATTGTATTTTGCTGGTGAGCACCACGACTCGTTTTTCTATCTTTTGTTGCCAAGTAGAGAAGAAAATAAGGGGAGTAATATTTACAATTGAGAAATTGAAACAACAAAAAATTGAGACCACATCTAGTTTCAAGAGGACCACTCCAAGGAAACATTCATCTCCTATCAAAGCAAAAACACACTAGCATATAACATCAATAAAACAACTGATTCAACAAAGCATTATTTGCACCAGTTTCATGGAAATGCACCAGTTTCTGGAACTTTTTGTAATTTAAGTTCATCACAAAAAACTATATCTTTTTCTGTAAACCCCGACTCGTTTAACTTTTTTATCCAAAAGAAGAAAAAGGGAGTATTTACAATCACCACAGATGCAGCAAACTCTACAGTCCAATTAGAAGAAAGATTCAAGAAACCAATAACAAAATTAAATTTGAAATCCAATTATAATAGAAAAGGTCAAGATATCACACAACATGCAATTTAGAATCCAGCATGTCTTTGTCCATGCTACTTTCTTTCATTACACAAGGGTAATATTGCACATTGAGCTAGCAAGTATATAAAGCAGATACCTCTTCAGAGCCATCCTCACTATCAGATTCGTCATCTTCATCGTCTGAATCATCATCATCTGATTCATCTTCATCAGATTCATCCTCTGCTTTCTGTCCTTTGCTTGGCTCTGCAGGCTTAGGCTTTTGTTTTGCGGGAGAATCAGGCTTAGGCTTGCCAGCAATAGCCTTTACAGGCTCAACATGTGGCTTTCCTGAAATAATTTATAAATCAAAAGATGAGGATTCATTTAAAAAACAATTGACATTCATTCAGCACAAAGAAAGAAATACCATTGTCTGCATTCACCAATGGAAGTGGCTTGTCCTCTTCTGAGTCCTCATCTGCATAAATCAAAGGGTTCAGTATACTTTGCAAACAGATTACAAAAATCAGTACTATGTATAGCAGCGTTCGTCATAGGACTCACCAGAATACATAGTGATCACAAGAAGACAGCCAGAGCATATGGTCAAGGAAACTACAAATGGTACTAATTTATTAAATCACCAAGGAATTCTAAATAAAACAATAATATTATTATTTTATATTATCCATTATTGCAAACTTGCAACACAATCAATTGTAAGACCTAAGGTTAACATCAAGACTTCATGCATAAAGTAGAAGATCAAAATCAAAAGTTCTTGAACACAATATTTTTAAGTTCAGGATGCTCTAATTGTTCTCAGGTTGATCAAATGCACATTGTTCTGGGGAGTAAATAGTGGGATAAGCATCACAAGCAACAAAAGGGAAAATAAAAAAATTAAAAAAAAAAGGTATAGTACAACAAGGATATTCTTCTTCATCTGGCATAAGGGTTTGATAACCACAGAAGTAAACGCTGCCATTCTTCCAGTTGTGAGATAGTTCCACCTCTTTCTCGAAGACCAAATCAAGCGAAATCTGAGGTATGTTTTCGGTAGAAAGAGTACCCAGTACAAGCTTCTTGTCATCAACCTTCACAAATAGGGGAACTGATTCATTTCCTTTTTCTTTCTTTGACTCACCTAGAGCCGCCTGAGAGACAAAAAATCAATGTTTAGCAAGATAAACAAAAACCAAAACAACATCAAACTAAGGAACATAAGGCGATAAAATGTTATTAAATCAAACAAAATTGAATAGCAAACCTGAGAAAGATGTAATATACTATCAGATTCGGGTTTTACTTTGAGAGGCTCTCCAGCCTTGACTTCAACACCTAATAGAATGAGAAGAATTAGACATAAATATACAATACCTATATTTAAAATAACAAGAAAACCAAAATAAACAAACTGCCTCCACATAAGTGAATTTTTCAAGTCAATCATAACAATAGTCAAAATAAAGGTACACCATGAGCTCACTAAAATCATGACATAATAATGACAAGTTCATAATTTTCAGACAAGTTCAAATAATAATGACATAATAAAACAAGTCACAAAAACAAAGACCACGAGCGCACTAAAATTTATCTCCCTTCTGCAGGACTACTTTCACAAAACAAAAATCTCCACAACAAGAGTACTTAAAAGTTCTCTCAGCACATCATTTTTTATTTACAAATAGGTCAAGATACAAACAATAAACAAACAAATAAAAAGTATGGATTGCCTATAACAGAACCCATTTTCAATACACTTTTAATAAAGTTAGCAACCTTAAACCATACAGGGAGTTAAGGAAATAGATTTGATAAGGTTAAAGAATAAAATTGAACTGGATGTTAACCTCGTAGCAGTTCATTTTAAGATTGAAGGAAAGCATAGTCTGGTTAGCAACTCCAAAATCCTCTTTTAAGTGTAAAGTACCACAAATATTAAACTTAAACCCCCCCCCCCCCTTCAAACCCAAGCAAATAGACAAAGTTATCTTTCTTTACAGTAAATTCCCATGCAATACCCTAGATACGAAAAGAGAATACCTAGACAAAAAAAAAAAAACACTAAAAAAATATGATTAAACAAAAAAGGCACGAAAGACCATTTATGAGTTCCATATTTAGCCGCCAAAGCTGCTCCAAAAACACCGAAATATAAACTCATAAACAAAACCAAAGTCCGGAAAAAGCATAAGCAATCAGAGAAATGAACAAAAAAAAAAAAAAAAGAAGGCACGGAAAGACCATTTATAGAGTTCCATATTTTGACGCCAAAAGCCTGCTCAAAAACACCGAAATAATAAACTACATAAACACAAACCAAAGTCCGGATAAAGAGCATAAGCAATCAGTAGAGAATAGACAAGAAAAAAAAAAAGACAAACACATACAAACAAAACGAATTTCGCAGCGAAAAACATAACCAGGTTATATATAGAAATCATGAATAAAAATCAAGAGAACATAGCGAGAAAATAATTTGATTGTAAAGAAAAAAAAAAAAATAAAAAACTACAGTAGAAGATGAAGACATATACGCGGCTAAAAAAAAAAAAAAAAAAAAAAAAAGAGAAATGAAACTTACCCCAGAATTCCATAGAGGATGACAGAGAGAAAGGGAGAAGGCTAGGGTTTTAGAGAAGACGTCGAGAGTATCGGGACAGTGAAAGAGGCGGATTAAATGAAGGTTTTGAGTGCATTTATAAGGGTTTTGTGATCCAGACTAGGGTTTTGAATGGGAGTAGCTGATTTTGGGCCCCCATTTAAGGGCCTTTTCTTCCTTTTTCTTTATAAAGAAATTTTTTTATTTCACAGTGAATGGGTAACAGCATTAATCGGCGAGCAGTACATTGAACCTGCGCTCAGGGCTAAAATCAAAATCGATTTTTTTTAATTTTAAACTGTTTCTGCACATTTGTGGAATTTATTTAAAAATTTAAAATATTATATTTATAATAAAAAAATATATAAATTTAAATTGTACGATTTGAATTTTATAGAATTAGAATGTCTATCTTAAATTCTATTAAAATTGATAAAATTTGTAAATAAATTTTATAAAATTGACCATTAAAATATTTACTAATAAAATTACCCTCTACTATAAAACTCAACTATGTTTACTTTTTTTTTTCTTTTTATTTATTTTCTTTAGAAAATTCCAAACCATAACAGTGATATTTTTTTTAATCCAATAATGATGTTAGTTTATATTTCTTTTTCCTTTTTATTTTTTTTCTTAAATCAATAACATTTTTTACATCAATTAAAAATAATTATTATGATGAATGTTACTGTTTATATAATTAATTAATTAGCATGGAATATTAGTGTACTTATTTATATGAAATAATGTTAGTGTGACTTATTTATATGAAATTTATTCATTATAAATTTTAATAAAAATGACGAAGTATGATATTGTACATATAATATAAACTTGTGTTGTTATTTTATTTATATTTTAATAAAAAATGACAAGTTATTATATTGTACATAATAAATATAACTTGTGTTTGTTATTTATTTTTATTAAATTATTATGTCAAGAATGTTATAAGAAATAAAGACAAATGAATTTTCATTTAAGAATTTATTCCAAATATAATTTTGTGGAACTGAATTAAAATCTTTATTTTAAATTATAACACATCAAACATGATAAATTCATTTACAAATAAATTTTATCTGAAATTCATTAACAAATGAATTTTATAATCATGATTCATTTCTTACTAACCGGTCGATAAATTCTCATCTCATTTTCGGAATTTTGATGTGATCCTATGTATTAGGTATCAGTGCTTCTATGATGCGGCCAGTGTAGTTTATCTTTGTTAATTCTTTATTTCTTATTGTAACCAAAAAACAAATTCCGTCTTATTTTTTGTTTTTTTATAATTTTAGTGAATCATTGAGCAATTTTCAATTTTACTAAAACTGGCTTGGACCACTAATTGAACCAATAGTTTCATGTCAATTTCAGTTTTATAATTGGAACAATTTTTATTATGGTTCAAAACCAAAACCTCTAACTCAATTTCGGTCCAATTTTCATCGAGCTAGCTTTCCTTTTGGTGCATGTCGTTTTTGTTTTTTCCCTTTAATTTCCATGTCGTTTTTATTTAATAGCATCAACAATACATTTCTCACTTAATCAAACTTCAAATGGACAAGAAAATGATCGAAATGTATTTAATTCAAAATTATTAACCCCTTTATGTATTGATTGTTCTCTTTATTAGGGAATAGCTTTAGTTTAAAATATTAGAGGTGAATCTAAAATAGTGGAACAAAAGTTAGAGAAGGACAGGAGTAAAAAAATCAGATTTTAAACGCTTAAAACTTGTACAAATTAAATCACTATTGATATAATTGGTCCGTATACCTCCCTTACCTTTTGGAAAGCCTCCGCCCCCGTAAAACCTGTCTATTGGAGACTCTGATTTTCTAAGCAGCAAATCCTAATTTGAATTTTGCGATAATTACACCCTAAAATGAAAAATTAAGAGTGTTTATACTATATAATTAAATTAAGGGTTAAATTGCAATAAAAAATATATTTTCGTGGGACCTAATGGAAAATTCTTTTTCTTTTTGTGAACAAAGAGAAATATCATCATTAACATTATTATATTTTTGATATTGCTGGTTGGTTTAAATTATAAAGCTAAAATAATTAAATATATTTTTCAGTTTAAATAATGCTAATATATGTATATTCTGAAAATAATTGAGTACATGGATTGATGTTAGTTACAATATAAATATTAAAAATTCCAAATTCATCAAATCTTAGGATTATCAAATTGTTAAAATTTTTGTTTTTTGAAAATTTAATTTCAACTATCTTTCTCACGTACAATAAATATATAAATTAATACACAAACATATATGAACTAAAATGTAAGAAATCAACATACTAATTTTGAAGCCACTGTTCGAACTCGAAGTGCTTTCTATGAGTTAACTGCTTTCTATGAAAGCTAAATTTTGTAATAATCAACGGTATACTCAAGTGGTAGATGAAAGCTATTTTAAATTAGATTTTTTTTTCCTAGATGAGAGTTACTTTAAATTAGATTTTTTTTTTCCCTCTTCAATAGCATTGTTTCGACTTTCGAGTTTGGGTTTAAGTGTATTTTATTTTTGTTTATATTTTAGTTGAATGATTATTATTATCAAATATTTAATAATTAAATGTATTTAAAATATCAAAAATACAATTGATTATTAAAAATTTAAAAAAGGATATACAATAAAAGAATAATATTTTAAATATTTTTATTTATGTATTTATTTATGTATTGTCTCGTTTACTTTGATTAGTAATTCTTACTAATCACATGATGTTTAAGATTTAACATCATTACCGTAATTAAAATAAAATTAATAAATAAAAATATCAATTAAACTATTTAATATTTTAATAATATTTTTTTGTTAACGCTTTAGTAAACATCCAAACTAAATTGATTTGTTTCCATGTATAAAAAAAATTAATTAGTTTCCACAATACTTTAAATTTCAATTTCATATTTAAGAGAGTATTGATTATGATTTAAGATTTGTTTCCATGTATAAAAAAAATTAATTAGTTTCCACAATACTTTAAATTTCAATTTCATATTTAAGAGAGTATTGATTATGATTTAATTAATAGAATGTATTAGAGTCATATTTAAATACTATAACTATATTAGAGTTTGAGTTAGAGATAAATTCATAAAAAGTGTAAATAATTTTTATTCATCAATTAAGCTATTAAACATTTTAATAATTCTTTTTTTCAGTTACTGCTTTGCCAAAAAAAAAAAATCCACAAAACCAAAAAGAAAATACAATCCGCAAGACAAAACAAAAAATAACCCGCAAAAAAAAAAAAAAAAAAAAAAAAAAAAAAAAAAAAAAAAAAAAAAAAAAAAAAAAAAAAAAACAAACAATCTGAATGACAGAGTTACCGTGATCAACCACTTTCCTACAAACAACTCTCATGGTAACACCATATGGTGCTAACAGTTCGACATGTTTCTTTTGTCCCTTCTAGGTGATCGGAAAATAAAAAAATAGTTTATATATTAAGATAATCATGTATTTACAAAAAAAAAAAAAAGAACAATCTGCAAGACCAATTCTTTAGCATTTTCTATAATGCAAAGAGAAAAAGAAAGACCCTGCATCTAATCGTTATATTTGTAAACACATCAAACAGGAGCTGCAAAGAATCATTAAAAAGCAACTAATAAAGAACTACAATAAAGTAATAATGAAAACGAATAAATATAAAAGCTAAAAAAAAAAAAAAACTAACGTCTATTTATGAAAGGCTTTGAGCAGAAATATAGAATAATATTGATAATACAATCACATGTAGCGCTCAAGAAACACAAAAAATAAAATAGTTGGAAAACAACACACTTATAGAGAAGTGCAAAAGCAAACTCTGAGTCTCCTCTGGGGCCTAACCGTATACATCCAAGTTCAATTGTATATAGCTAGATTTTAGGTTGAAAAATTTAAAAGATAATGTTTTAGTTGAATTAAATTAGGTTTTAAAAGAGAAGATTTTAGTTGAATTAGATTAGGGTTTAAAAGTTATAAATTATCATTACTATATATTAAATATTAAATTAAATAAATAATTATATTGGTTAATCAAAATAAAAAAAAATTATAGAAAAAGATAAGTGGAATATTAAACAAAGAGAACATCTCTTTGTAAACAAACGAGAACATTCTCTTTGGTTTTCAGCTGCTTATATATATATATAAATATAATTAATTATTTGTATTTTTTTTAACGTCAATCAAGATAGCAATTTATTATTTTATTTTTTAATCAATCAAGATACAAGGCAATTTATTAAATATTAATAACAAATTAAATTATTATATTCTTATAATATTTAATATGTAATCAAATAATTTTTATAATTATTAATTTTTAATCAAATATTTTTTTTAACCAATTAAAATAGAGAAAATTTATAATTATTAATTTATCATTGTCCATTTTTATCACTTATGTCCATCCCAATATTATAGAATTATGGATAAGTCAATATAAAAATTAGTAAACAACTATTTGTAAAACTTTTAAAAGTTAATGAAAAAAATACCTAATGTATTAAAATTATCTAAAGGCATACTAATTAAATAAGAAGGCAAATGAATTTATTAAAAATGAGATATTTTTAAAAATTATTAGGATAATACAATCTTTTAATTAGTCAAAGAACGGTTTTAGAATAAGCAAATAATCATACAAAAGGATTTCCGACTTATTTTAAATATTTTTTTTACTTTATAAGTCAAACCAACAATTATTTTAAAAAAAAAAAAATTGACTGACTTAAAAGTCAAACAAAAAACCCCTATTAATTAACGTAACTTGGTGTTGTAAATCAATTATTTATCCCTTATACGTTTACCAATGAATTTTAAAATATGCAAAAGAGAATATATAACAACTAGTCGTGGTCCGCACTTCGCACACGATTATTTACACGTATATAAAATATAATTTTTATGGTATTATGTAAATTATATTTTAGAAAAAAACTGTATAAATTAATTTGATTTGAGGTTATTTTACATTTAGTTGCTTATGTTTAGTATTTAGCTATTCATACTCCATATCGACATTAGTTAGGTTCTTTAATGAAATAAATAACACTAACTTCTAATTATTCATATGATTTCTTGTATTAAACATTGACGAATTCACCGATTTTTATACT